AACTAAAAGACACGTAATGCTAAGATTAAAAACATAAAGATGGAGTTGGAGAAATTTTTTTAAAGTTAAGATCATCCTATCTAATTTTTTTTAATAGTCCGGACCACTCAATAGTACAAGGAATAAACTGTTGGAATGTAATTAAGAAAATACTATTTTTGCTTACTTGTCAATCTAATGCATATAAAGCCGAACAACTTAGGAATCCAAACAATTGAAAATTTACCCTTTACCGTCACATGATAATACTAATTTACATTTTATAAACAAGTTATTATTACAATTTCAGAATGGTAAGAGTTCTTCCCAGTAAATTTATATGCCTCATGGGACGTGAAGCTGCCGAGTCAGTCAGGAATTAATCATCCTCCCCATATGATTATCGTTGACTTTTCCCACATGTTTCCAATCATGACTTTGGCTTCACATGCTGATAATGTCATATTAACAACCCCATTGCAACCACCATCCAATTGCCAAATGGTGCAAGCAAGGTTTGTCCCTCTCTATGTCTATATATTGAAAGAGAAGCAGAAATGCCAAAACACACCAAACAGGTAGCTTGATAAGCGGGGGCAACCTGTGAACACAGATCCCACAGAGTTGGAGAGATGGCGCACAAAATGCTTGGTTATGTGACAGTTTTTGTTGCGTTAGCTGCAGCAGTACTGGTCATAGAAAGAGCAGAAGCTGAATCATACACAGTTGGTGATGATCTTGGTTGGACCAACATTGTTGATTCCAACACTTATTCTTCCTGGGCAGCTAATCACACCTTCAAAGTTGGCGACACTCTAGGTAACCCAAAACTTACCTTTTGTATTAACCTTTTCTGATTAGTTTATGAGTCCTGTGATAACCATTTCATTTTTTTGTTTTGAAAACCAAAAATTAAATGCTACTTTGGTGACTTTTTGAAAAATTGGCTTGATGAAATAGTTGTTAAACGATCTGACGGTTGATTTCAACACTCATTCTTTAGTTTCTTCTACTGCTTTTGTGAGAGCCGAGAAATCGTAAAATATGCAGTTGAAGGGCAGATGACTGAAGCAGAAGTGTGAAAATGCTACTTTTTACTATTCGTACAAATGCAATATGATCTTAATTTGGTGTGTTTTGGCAGTGTTCGAGTTCCTAACTGGACGACATGATGTAGCCACACTTACAAAGAAAGCGTATGATGAATGCAGCACCACCGATCCCTTGGGCGTACTAGACCAAGGACCTGCCAGTTACATCCTCAACGAAACCGGCAATTACTACTTCATCTGCGCCATCTCCGGCCACTGTAACGATGGTCAGAAGTTGAGCATCAAAGTGACAGCTAGCCCTGCCCAACCTCCTTCTCATGGCCCTGCCCCACCACCTTCTCATAGCCCTGCCAAACCTCCTTCTCATCGCCCTGCCCAACCACCTTCCCAGAGCCCTGCCCCTCCTCCGTCTGACACTACGGCTCCTGTGTCGCCACCTCTTCCTTCTGACACTGAAACTCCTATGTCACCACCAACCACGACGGCGCCTCCTCCTTCTGACGCTTCTTCCCTTGCTTCTACTTTTTCTACTGTTTTCGTGTCCATTCCCATTGCTCTTTTCTACCTCTTCTAGTACTCGTGTTCTTGAGTATTGAGTGTTAATTTTGTCTGAACATTGCGAGTTGAATGCTTCATACTGTATTTTCAACAAGACTTCCATCGATCCAATATTCATGATGATTTTAATTTGATCTTTTGTGTTGTTTATACTCCATATATGCAACAGAGAAATTACAATTGTCTGCAGTAATACTTAACCCAAAGTTCCAAACATTATTCAGGGAATACGTGCCTTAGGGTGCGTTTGGTACGTGGGACGGGACGGGACGGAACGGGACAAGGCGTTCCGTCCCGCGTTTGGTGCGCCAAAAATGGGTGGAACGGGCTGTTCCACGGGACAGATTTTGGGTGTTTTTGCGTTCCACCTCCCCCCTGGAACGGGTTTGTTCCACGTCTGTGGAACACAATGTTTAACCATTTTAAGACAAATATACCTCATGTCTTTTTCAAAAATTACACCTTCGTTCCGTCCCGTATCGTCCCGTCCCGTCCCGTTCCGTCCCGTCCCGTCCCGTCCCGTCTGCGTACCAAACGCACCCTTAATGCACTTGGTCAACTCAATCATCTTGACTTGGGCTTGAGCATTAGTAAATTATTTTTTCACAGCAATTAGAAATATCTATTGACTTAAATGCCAACGTTCTTCACTTTCTTGGTTAATATTTTTTAAAACACATAATTGAAACACTTACTGACACTTTCTAATATAGAGGGATCCTAAAAAATATTGATAAGGTCTATCTGTACAAGTGAGTGTATTAGTTTTGTGTGTCTAAATAAAATTATTGTTTCCCAAATTATAGTTTTGACATTAGGGTCAATATCTATACACATTGCTACCCAATTTATGCTCTGATTAAAAAAATTAAGAGAATTTGAGTTATCATATATATTGGAGGGGGGCCATTAATATATATATGAAGAACATGGCTTCTATGCATTTTGAATTGCTTCTCTAGAAGAATTTTTTAGGGTAAAGTACAAAAAAACTACCTTAATTATTGGTGTCACGACACTTTCATACCTCATCTTTTAAAATTGACAATGTCATACCTCGTCTTTAGAATTTGGTCCAATGGTATACCTTCTGTTAGCCTGGCCGTTAATTTGTCAGTTAAATGCTGACGTAGCTTGATCTAGACCCCACTTTCTATTAAAAAATTTAAAAAATATTAAAAAAACTAAAAAAAATCATTTAATATTTTTTAAACATTAAAATAATAAAGAAAGTTAAAAATAAAATAAAAATAAAAAAAATAAACAAAACCTGTTCTTCCCTTCCCCTCCCTCCCTCCTATCCTCTTTCCCACATCTACCTACTACAACCCAGAAAAAAGAAGAAGAAAAAGAAAAAACAAAATTGTCCCTCCCCCCCCCCGCGCCGCGTCCTTCTCTCTTCTCCCCCATCCCCCCCCCCCACCCGAGCCCCTATCTAGGACCCCGAAAAAAAAAAAAAAAAAAACTCTCTCTTCCCCCCCCCCGGTCCTTGTCTCTTCTCCCTCATACCCCCCCCACCCACTGTTCTCCCCACCCGAGCCCCTACCTGTGACCCAGAAAACAAAAAAAAAAACCCAACCCCCCCCCCCCACCCAACCTGAAGAAGAAGATAGAGAAGGGGAAAAAAAAACCCAGAATAAAACCCAGATCCCGTTCGCCAGGCCGATTCCATGGGGGGTGGGTGTGAGGTTGGGTAGGTGCGGAGGGTGGATGTGAGGGGAAGACGAACTGGGATTTTTTTATTTTTTTTGGTCGCAGGTAGGGGCTCGGGTGGGGGAGAAAAGGGGGTTGGGGGGGATGGGGAAGAAGAGAGAAGGACGCGGGGGAGGGGGGAGGGGGGAAGGGACAGTTTTTTTTTTCTTCTTCTTTTTTTTTATGGGTTGCAGCAGGTAGATGGGGGAAAGAGGAGAGGAGGGAAGGAGGGAGGGAGGGAGGGAGGGAGGGAGGGGAAGGGACGAGCAGGTTTTCTTTTTGTTTTTTGTTTTTAACTTTTCTTTATTATTTTAATGTTTAAAAAATATTAAATGATTTTTTTTTAGTTTTTTTAATTTTTTTTAATTTATTAATAGAAAGTGGGGTCTGGATCAAACCACGTCAGCATTTAACTAACAAATTAATGGCCAGACTAACGGAAGGTATAATATTTGACCAAATTCTAAAGATGAGGTATGACATTGTCAACTTTAAAAGATGAGAAATGAAAGTGTCGTGACACCAATAGTTGAGGTAGTTTTTTGTACTTTACCCAATTTTTTACTTAGGCTAGGAATCAAATCGTGTTCATATTCCTCATGGATCTATTATGATAAAATATCGATGATCACTGTCTAAACCACTATTCTAAAAATCCCCGACTAGCGCCGTCTAGGCCCCACTTAGCGCCTCTTAGGCCCCGCCTAGGCTCTAGGCGGTTAACCACCGTCCCAATTAATGCCTAGGCGTTGAAAATTTAGAAAGGGTGCCTAGACCTGTTAAGGCGCTCGCCTAGCCCGTCCAGACCCGCCTAGGTTGCGACTCACTTAAACAAAAAATAGATAACTTTCATCTTGCATTATTTTTTTTTTATATAAATTGTAAGAGAGTTGTTGATACTTAAATGAACACACATTATATGCTTGTTCCCCATGTTTTCATTATGTTTCAAGACTTCATAATATATATGTCATTCAATTTTGTAATTTATGAAGTAATTATATATATTTTAAGTATAAACAGACACTTATTTACACAAAATATAATAGATTTACTTAAATCCGCCTAGTCCGCCTAGGCACTAGGCCCCAGCTCGCCGCCCGACTAGCGCCTAACGTCTTTTAGAACTTTGGCCTAAACTTTTATGATGAAAATGGACATTTACATGTAAATTGTGGTAATTAATTTGGAGTTAATTTAAAAGAAGTACTCTTCGAACTTTGATTAGCTTATGCGTTAGGGTTCAACTTTTCTATTTCAACCTCATTTTTAAAAGTTATTGGACCTGAACTTATAAAATTGGGAACATAGAGGGTCGACAACTGACCCAGAATTACCATTTAAAATGCCCTATTTCTTAATTGAATGAGGTGGCCAATGTTATATTTGTCACAATTCTGTGCAAGGGAATCAGCAATGCCATGGCCTGCAGGTTTGTGTTTTATATAGAACTCAAAATTCACAAAAAATGTTTCTAGTCCAAACATAATTAACATCGACGCCTGCTCATTGAAATATCCCTATACGGATCTTCGGACGTACGTACCAGTTAATTAGTGATTTGTACTGCACCTCACATAGGGTAGCTAGCTTGCAATTTCCGGATGTCATACACAATGCATTTTGGCCGGCCGCCCTCAACCGCTTCCTAAAATCCGAGAAGTGTCCCCAGTATAAATTCAGACCTCCAACATCCCAATACCACACTGCTAAATTCCTTCGTACAAGAAACAACACGAACACGAGAATTAAAAGATGGTTAAAATCATGAATGTGAGTAATGTGGTTGTCCTTGTTCTAGCAGTGATTACCACAACATCGCTACTTGGAGCAGAAGCTGGAGAATATACAGTGGGAGATGAGTTGGGTTGGACTATTCCTCCTGGTGGCGCTGCTACGTACGAAGCATGGGCTGCCAAGCATAGATTGTCCGTTACTGATTTTATAAGTGAGCTTCTCTTTACTTTCCACTTATTATTTAATTTTAGGAGCCGTTTGATAATCATTTCATTTTCAGTTTTAATTTTATGTATTTTTTTTTTAAATTGAAAACTTATTTAGTAACTAATTTCAGTCTTTATTTTTCACAAATATTGTTATCAAACCGGTCCGTAACTGATCATCATGATGACGGCTATGATGATAATGATCATGCATGATGATGATATTGATGATATGATTTGCTTGTGCAGACTTCAACTTTAAAGTTGGAGAACAAGACTTGGCTATAGTAACCAAGGAGGATTACGACGCCTGCAACACGGACAACCCCTTATTTGTATTCCAAGAAGGCGGAGAGTTTCAGTTTGTTCAGTCGGACACATATTATTTGACCTGCACCTTCGCCGGCCACTGCACCAAAGGTCAAAAGATTGCTCTTTATATTGCTCCCGCTTTTTCTCCTTCTCCAAGTCCATCTTCATATCCAAGTGAAAAAACTGCTGCTCAACATGCTAATGCAGTCAAATTTGTGTCCAAGAAAGGTCAAGGGCTCAAGAAATTACTGCCTGTGATGATGAAGTCCCTCTAATTCCTTTATAGCTATATAAAGCTTGGGTCCTAGTTAATTATATGCCCTTTACCAAAAAAAAGTTAATTATATGCCAAGAGGAATAATAATATTTACGAATAACAAGAGGTACTTGGTATTTTGTAGTTGTACCAAGTGCATATATGTCTTGGTATTTTTTTTCGTGGATTAATTATTTTGTAACAGAATAAAACATTTTTTTGGGTAGTGATGCGTCGCCCGAGGCCGTGGCTAGTAAGTAAAAGAAGCAAGTTACTAGGCGTTACCAAACATTTCGTGGCTTTGCCCAAATTTATTGTGGTGTGTATGTATGGTACAAGAAAATGGTAATGATACAAATAATTAGCATTTTTTTTTGTTTGGGATGAGCTCATTATCCTATTTACAAAAAAACGTATCTTCATTAAAAAAAAATCATAATCTTAACTTTCTCTCTCCCCAACTATCTCTCCCAAAACCCAGAAACCTTAAATTCCGCAATTTTAGCCTCTAGCCATTTTCTCCAGCTAGGGGTCGGTGACAAACCTTTCCCTTATAGTCCGTCTTCCTCCCCCTCCCCCATTCTTTTCTTCTCATACCATGTCCCCTCCGCTCCCCTGCCACCCCTCTCTTGGCTTACATGGCCGCGCCCCCTTCTCCTCTCATCCATTCATTGCTTATCTCCCACCATTTTGTGAGTAACCTATCCTTTGGCTTTGGTGCCTCATACCCAGACCTGAGCCATGCCTCATCTCAAGGTCTTTCTCTAGATTTAACGTTAGATCTGAGGGTTTGGGTGAGATTCATGGTTGTTGGTGGGTAAGATCCACATACGTCTGCTTAAATCCATGGTGGTGATACATTCCTCCAACAATTTTATGGTTGTTCTCACTGATGTGTACAAATCTAATGGCTCTAACCGCTGCCTTATGCGTCAAGTTATTGTGTTTCCGCCTTGACTCGCAGAAGCTATAGATGTCTGTTTGGGCCCAAAATATTGGTTTGGGCCGAGTTTAAAATTGTTCTCGGCCCAAAAATGTTGCTCAGGGGCCGGTCGTGTCCTATCAGGATGGGGTAGTTGAATCCTGATACAATAAGGAGTCCCGGCAGGATAAGGATGCTAAAACTTGGGAATGAATACAGCTTGATAAGGGGTTGAGTTCAAAGTCCTAATAGGAGTAGGACTGGCCGAGATAAGATTGGATCGAGGTAAGGAGTCCTAATCCAAGTATAGTTTTGGTTCGATCAGAAGCAAGTTTGCTACTGTAAATAAAGGGTGGAGTGCATCACTCAAGCCCCCTCCAATTCAACGTACAAACTGCTCTGTGCAAACCCTCGTTCTACGCGAAACCTCTCAACAACCTTGAGATTTTTTTTTCTTTTTCGCCAACACATCTTCAGTTTGGATAAACAGCATTGCTTTAAGGTCGACTGGTTATCTATCCAAGTCTCGGTCGAGAAAGACTTTCGGGTCTTTATTGGTAGAGGTCATCTCATTAGCCTTTTCGACGAGGTGAGGTGTTATAGCTTACTAGGGCTCGGCACATTGAATGCCAAGTTGTTTTATGATTGGATACTCACAGGTAAGCTTTAGAGTTTGGCGCCGAACCATATTTACCATCAAGACATATATATATTTTAAGTATCTGTGCCCATATACTTTGGTGTCAATTTGACGTGCTTATACCCTTACAAATATAATCACTGTGACCGAATCCGGTGCTGACAATTTGTGAACTTCACAAAGTTAGCAGCCTTGTCTTCAAGCTCTAAAACCCAAAGGACGAGATGTGTTCCTTCCTCGGCCGCAGTCGCAAGATCGAGAAGTCAGTCGCGCACTCAACGCAACATCAACACATTTTAATCCTCGACCGAGCTCGGCACACGAGTTGGCACACCCCACATCAACCGAAGGATATAGTTAGCTCATTAGCTACTTGACTTGCACGCCACGTAGGCTTGATAGTTTTTAGGGTCAACAATGTCATTAGAGCTATGTAGTTACAAGTGGTGTTGGATAGGGTGTCCTCCACAATGATTAGCCGCCCGATGGTTCCGTTCTCAAATTAATGTAGTTTTAGTTGTATTGTCATACTTTTCTAATGATTGGATGTGGTCTAGCTTTTTTGTGATGATTGTGTGTTGTCTCGCTATATGTAGCCTCACTATTCAACAATGACTGATGTGTGTCTACAATTTGTGATGAAATATGTAGTGGTGCCAATTATATGGTTGTGTTTGTGGTTGTCATATAAGAGTTTTACTCAATTTGTTTGTCTATGCAAATTCACTCCAAATCAATTTATTGATCACTGTAGCAATGTGCCCAATTGACGTTTGTAATTGGGTAGTGAGGCGAGGACCGTGTCCATGGCTAGTAAGTAAAAGAAGCGAATTACTAGGCGTGGCCAAACATTCTGTGGCTTTGCCCAAATTTATTGTGTTGTGTATGGTACAAGAAAAAGGTAATGCTACAAATATTCAGCACCTTTTTTTGAATGAGCTCATTACCTTATTTACAAATAAAGTATGTTCATTATAAAAATATAAAAAAATCATAATCTTAACTTTCTCTCTCCCCAACTATCTCTCCCAAAACCCAAAAACCCTAAATTCCCCAATTTTTAGTCGTTGGCCCTTTTCTTCAGCTTGCGGTCGGCGACAAACCTCTCCCTTCTAGTCCGTCTTCCTCCCCATCCCCCACTGCGTACTTTCCTTTCTTTTCTTCTCATACCACATCCCCTCCGCTCCGCTGCCACCCCTATCTTGGCTTGCACGGTCGCGCCCCCTTCTCCTCTCATATATTAATTGCTTATGTCCCACCATTTTGCGAGTAACTTATCTTTTGGCTTTGGTGCCTCATACCCAGACTTGAGCCATGCCTCATCTCAAGGTCTTTCTTTAGATTTAACATTAGATTTGAGGGTGTGGGTGAGATTCATGGTTGTTGGTGGGTCAGATCCATATACGCCAGCTTGAATCCATGGTGGTGATACATTTCTCCAATAATTTTATGGCTGTTCTGACTGATGTGCACAGATGTAATGGTTCCAGCTGCTGCCTTATGCGTCAAGTTATTGTGTCTCCACGACCTAGAAATGATGGGTCCACCTTGACTCGTAGAAGCTATGGATGCCTTCAGAGCCATGTAGTTGCAAATGGTGTTGGATAAGGTGTCCTCCACAATGATTAGCCACCCAGTGGTTCCGTTCTCAGATTAATGTAGTTTTATTTGTATTGTCATGCTTTTGCAATGATTGTATATGGTCTAGCTTTTTTGCGATGATTGTGTGTTGTCTTGCTTTATGTAGCCTCGCTATTCAGCGATGACCGATGTGTGTCTACAATTTGTGACAAAATTTGTAGTGGTGCCAATTGTATGGGTTGTGCTTGTGATTGTCATATAAGAGTTTTACTCGATTTGTTTGTCTATGCAAATTCACTCCAAATCAATTTATTGATCACTGTAACAATGTGCCCAATTGACGCTTGTAATTGTTTATGTTGATCATGAATAAAACACTACTCTATTGTTCGGAACAAATTCTATTTCTTAATCTTCAATGGAGATCGTACCAACAAAAAATCATTCGAATCACTACTACAAAATGGCACATTAGTGGCGGTGAAAAACCGACAAGAAACACCCATTAATGTCGGATTTTTGGTAAAAATCCAACATTAAATCGTGCAATGTCGCATAGAAAAACCGACATCAATACTACCGTCACAAAAGGGTAATGGCGTCGCTTAACCCCCTTAATCCGCCACCAAGAAGCAAAGTAATATAAAATCTAAATGAACAACAGCGTTGCTTAAAAAGGGGACATTGGCTCTTACGTCGCTTATAAGCGACATGAAGACCGACATTACATAAGAAATAAACAATAAAAATATCACACTTTCTGTCGCTTAAAACCGACATTACGTAAGAAATAAACAATAAAATATCACACTTTCTGTCGGTCCAAACCGACATCAAGTACGTTAAATAAATAAAATACTCAAGCTACTGTCGGTCTTAACCGACATTAACTAATGTCTTCAATATTAAATAATTACACTAATGTCGTCCATAAGCGACACCAGATATATTAAAAATAATAAATTCTAATAAAACTTCCTCAGTTTTTAGTTAATAATATTTAAAAAAATTATATAAAAATAATTTCAACAATATTTTTATAGTTGTGTGGTTTTGCACTAGTTGTGTGGAATTTTTCTTTTGCACCATCATGATGAGTTCCAAAATTGCAGCACAGACCATGGAAAATATGGAGATGAAGAGGCCAATGCCCATCCTTTGGAGTGTAGTTAGGCCATTCTTGTGATCGGTGTATTTTCTAGCTGCTAGCACAATGATTCAATCGTATATTGGGACCCAAAAAATGACACTAGGGTGTCAAAGATTTAAAGAGATGCTGCCGGGATTTCAAAGATAGAGCGGCCGACATGAATATCCATGAGGGTGCCTTGCAACACAAAGAAGTTGCTTCTCTGACTGTAGACTACAACAAAGATGATACCAGTGGCCCATATGGGAAGCAGCCTTATGATTGATTTTAGCTCCTCTACTTGGGTAACTGTACTGAGTTTCCATGGGCTTTTCGAGTTCTTTATCTGGTCACCTTGTACCTCCACCGCCGCTTTGTCAAAGAACATGAGCAGTAAAATTTCAGGTCAACAGAACAACAACAACAACGAAAGTAAAATTACAAAACCACTATTCGTTCACTCTAATGCAAGAGAAAAAAGAACTCTCAATCTTATAGTTTGATTACTCAACTAATAACCATAATAAATTAAAAATCGACCACCTTCGACTTCTTCCTCTTCGAATTGGATTTCGTCAGCATGCTCATTTTCATATGATCCATAGCAAAACAATCTGCAAGAAGAAGAACAAAACTAAAAAGTGAAAGAGAGATGAAATGGAAGTACGGACGAAATTGAGAAGGAGAATGAGAGATTGAAATTAGGGAAAAAAAATGAAAGCTCGGATGAAATGGGGGAAAAAGGGGTTTAATTAGGGATGCTGAGTTAGCGTCGGTTTAAATCGACATTAAGTTCCTAACGTCGTATTAAAATACACTGGCGTTGCAATAAGTGAGGCTTAGTGTCGGTTAAAACCGCCACCCACTTCTGACATGCATTACGTCCA